AGTATTTATTAAAATCGTTAATTTTATACAGATTATTTTAAAAATAAATACCGAAGATAATTTTGAATTAATTAATTTACAATGAGAGTGGAAATTAAACGCTATCCACTTAGGTGTGTCATGTCATGTGTGAAGAACTGAATTTCAAATAAATAAATAAATAAATAGCTTTTGTGTATTAATTTAATTCTCTAAAATTTATCGAACAAAAATTGCTTCTCAAAAATAAAAATAAACTAAACCCACTAAGAAAGACCGGAAAAGGCACAAGGCAGCAGAAGAGATAGAGTGAGGTTGAAGATGTCGAACTTGCAGTTACAGCTTCACTCACCACCACCATCACTCTTATCATCATCTTCATCTCTATCTTCTTCTTCTTCTTACCTTAAGCCTTTCCCAAACCACACTTTCTCTTCAAAGTTCCTTCCTTTCAACAACACTCCTAAACCCTTCTCCCTCAGATGCCGCCACTCTAACCTCTTCGACCAAAACACCTTAGCCTCCACACAACGTTCTGCAAGACCCTCCGCTTCAGGTTCATCCCTTTTCTCAACCCCATTTTTTCTTTTCTTTGCTTTTTGGTTCCTGAATATCACCTACAGAAATAAAAATGAAGAAAAGAAATTTGGGGTTCTCAGAAACATGATGGAGGCTTCACTTTCCCACTTGAAAAATTGTATTTTTAGTGGTTGGAAGAGAAAAAAATAACTTTTTTGTGCCATGTTTTCTGTGAACAGCCACTATAGAATGGTGGGTTAGTTAGGAAATTTGCAAAGGGTTTGGGTTTTGTTTTTGTGTAATGCACTTATTTGGTTTTCTGGTTTAATGTGTGTTCAGTTGGGGATTTGCCGCCTAGGGTTTATGTTGGTTACTCCATTTACAAAGGGAAGGCTGCGCTCACACTGACTCCTAGGCCCCCAGAATTCACACAGCTCGATGTATGTATGTTTTGGTTTTGGTGGTGGTGGTGGTGGTTGAGGTTGGATGTGCCATGGTCTCTATTGACTTGTGAATTGTGCATTTAACTGTGGAGGTTTTTGGTGTGTTTTGTAGTCAGGGGCATTCAAAATATCTAAGGAAGGTTATGTGCTGCTTCAGTTTGCACCTGCGGTTGGTGTGCGCCAATATGATTGGAATAGAAAGCAGGTGAGTTTTTATGCTTGTTCTGGTGTTGTGAGGGTAGTATCTCTTCTGATGTTATATGTCAAAATCGGGAAGTTGTTATCTGCTCCAAGAGTATTACATCAGTCTGATAATAATGTGGCACAACATAACCATATACACTATTTCATTAGAATTAAAGTAAGGTTAAATTGACCCTATAAATATGTAAAGGTTTGCTTTTAGTTCCCCATTTTAAAAAAAATCGACCTTTCGTCTTCCTCTTTTATAAAATGTGTCAAATTTTATCTCTGTCAATAACTTCGTTAATCCAATTTAATAGTGATGTTCGGTGAATAACACTTTTCTTGTGCTTTTAAATTAGCATATGTGTATGGTGTGTATGGTGGCGAGTGTTACTATTGAATTGGATTAACAAAGTTTGTGATGGATAGAATTTGACACATTTTAATAAAGGGAGGACTAAAAGTTGGCATTTTAAAAATAGGAGACTAAAAACAAACTTTTACATATTCATGAGACAGAAAAGATGTTTAATCCATTAAAATATTATATATGGAGGTTTATATTGAATTTGAACTGTAGAGAGCATTGCTCTTTGCTCACTTGAGTATTTTTAGACAAAACCTGACCAAGTTTGGTGTTTTGGTCTTTCTAGTTTGGAAGTTTTGGTATGATTCTGTTGTATTCAGTCTTTTGGTTGTATCTTATGGCTTAGGAATGAGTTTTTATAGTCCATTTTACTTGACTCAATGCAGGTGTTTTCCTTATCAGTGGGTGAAATGGGAAGTTTGATTAGCCTTGGTCCAAGGGAGTCTTGTGAATTTTTTCATGATCCTTTGAAGGGTAAAAGGTAGTTTCTATGTCATATCTTATTGTAAAATGGAAATTTTGTAACGGGATTGACATATTATGATATCACTGGTCAGTGATCATTACTTCATGTCTTGATTATCTTGTTATAAGAATTGCATTTTCCTGCTCGGTTCTTAGTCTTTTGATAACAAGTAATTGACCTATCACCATGTATGATGTATGGGTGGACAATTATGATATAACCGTGTATCCTTTGAAGGGTTCATACATTCTGATCAGGTCATTGCATGGTATTGAATATATTTTGTATTTTTCTTTTTGCTATATGTGTGGACGCTGGGGAGGGCACTAGTTTTGATGTCAAAAGTTATGGATGCTCTGCTTATTACCTTAAAAAGCATTTCTAAAATTGTTGTGGTATGCAGTGACGAAGGTAAAGTTAGAAAAGTTTTGAAGTTGGAGCCTCTACCAGATGGTTCTGGACACTTCTTTAACCTCAGTAATGCTCTTTCTTCATGAACCTTTGTTGCTATTATTGTATCATTTTTTATTTTATTTCCTTGCCATTTTGAAGTTTCTGGGTTGATTGAGTCCATTACATCGTGTGTGGACTGCAAAAAGCTCCCACATTGATGCAATATTTCAAAATTGACCAGTCCTAATGTAATCATTTAAAAGAATAACGTATCTGACCCATTTTTATGCCAATGCCTGCAATATTAATGCAAAAAGTTAAATGTCTTTATATTTGCTTCAGTTCTAACTTTGTTATGGCATTTCTGAAGGTGTTCAAAACAAGCTTGTGAACGTGGATGAGAACATCTTTATTCCTGTTACAAAAGCAGAGTTAGCAGTTTTGAACTCAACTTTCAATGTATAACTCTCTTTACCTTGTAATGTCAATTGCCAAAATTTCAACATCTTTTCATATATTTCTATGAAAAGTTGTAGCAGAAATGGTTGATCATCATTATAGAGTACTAAACAGTAAACAATGAAAATCCGTAACTTTGCAGTAATAGGTTCTTAACATTAGTCATGAAAATTCCATTGCCTTGCCAAACAAGGTACACATCTTTCACTAATCACTGTAAGATGTCATGAAGTTCATACCTTTCATTATAAAGATGTTATGAAGTCTTAGGTTTATAGATTTCCTGCATTTATGTTTAAAAGAGAATTTAGATTTTGGAATAGCTCCATAGGTCATTGGGAAAGTGGCATGTATATATATTTCTATTTAAGGTCTGATTAGATAAAGTTTTCCAGAAGAAACATTTCTAGGAAGAAAAAATACGAAGGGAATATGAAATAATTTTATACATAAGCTAAAATTAGCTTATGCATAAGCTAGTTTTAATTTATGGGGAAACTTATTTCATCTTTTTTTTTTTTTTTTTTTCTCATAAGTGCTTCTATAGAAGTTTATCCAAACAAGTCTGTATTCATTCTGGTAATATAAGAGGTTTTCTACTGTGCATTTCATGCTTTGGTAAATGTAATCTTTCCTTTATACATACAACCTGATTAATATTTTGTTCATAATGATTAATGACTAATACCTTTTTCCCCCTCTTTTTGTAGTATATCATGCCATACCTTCTGGGTTGGCATACCTTTGCAAACTCCATAAAGCCAGATGATTATAGTGAAACGAATAATGCCAACCCAAGATATGGAGGAGACTATGAATGGAACAGATAGAGATCACTTTTTTCTTGGTAGGTTACCACCCTCACCCTGTGAAGTTCTCTACTTCGAAATTTGCTAAATCACTGCATTTTATTAGCTAAGAATTGTCTTAGAAATTATGACTTTTGAGATAGCAATGTCTAATTTTGAGTTATTTATTCCATCTTCCTTTTGGCTACTTGCTCAAGAATGATAAATTACGGTTGAAAAAACTTAAAAGGTAATTCAAGAAATGAAAAGGTTTATATTTTAAAGGCTTAAATATATTTTTAATCTCTCAAATTTAGGGTAAATCTATTTTTGGTCTCTCAAATTTAAAATTATTATTTTTAATCCCTGTAATTTCAAAAAATCTTAATTTAGTCCATATATTCAAATTTTGTTAAGAAATTCATCAAATATTATTGTATAAAATCTACCTATTGGTGTTCCTATTAGTGAAAATATCATATTAAATCCGGTTGATATTACATAACTGTCTTAATTAGTCACTTTCAAATATGTTATTGCTGACTTAAGGGACTAAAACAAGATTTTTGAAAATTACAAGGACTAAAAACAACAGTTTTAAATTTAAGAGATAAAAAATAAATTTATCTTAAATTTGAGAGACTAAAAATATATTTAATCCTATTTTAAATTATTGGGAGAGAAATATGGGGAGTATGTTTTTCAGTGGCAAGTGTATTCCCAACTCAGTCAATTATCTGGTTATTAAACAATTGGGCTGATAAGAGCAGTTTTATTTGGTACGACTTTTTTTGGTACGAATTGATAGGAATTCAGGGTGCTGATTTGCTATTGGTTGATCAATAAATTAAATAATAATTAGTTATACTATTTTAAACGAAACCTTTTGCTGTTTTGCATACAAAAAGTGAAAAGTAAATTGGCCAGCAAAAATTCTCAATTCGACAGAGCACGCGATTATTAATGAAAAATATGAATAATTACAATGCGATTAAAACCTAGCCGGTACGAATAACTTACAGTTAAAGAAAAATACTAAAAATTAAAAATAGAACAAATTTAATATTTTTAACATTTACAATATACGCAAATTTAATATAATTAAAGATAGAATAATTTTCAAATTTTTTGTTCAAAATTATATACTTTGGGCCCATTTTTTTCTTCTTCTAATGTTTTAACTTTTTAAAATTCAACTGTTTTCTATTAATTATAAAATGAAGTTATTGTTAGTATTTAATAAATTGAATTACTTCAATTAAATACATAATTTTTTTTATAAAAATTGAAATATCATAAAAAAATGCATAGTGAATTGATAGTTATTTTAATTTTTTTTTATATAATTGCACATTTAAGTTGAAATTTATAGGTGATTTATGACAATTTATTATCTTTGTTTTATGTGACAATTTTTAATATAATATTAAAGTTAGAATCGATTTATAGGAATAGTTTATTATGACTAATTTCCTAAATGCATATGATTGTGTAATAATTTTTTTTATTTTTATCTTTGTGTGAGTGATAATCTATATATTATTAAAGATATAAGGGTCTTCTAAAATTTTTTCCCGCTCAAAACTATTTAGCTTGGGCCAATTTTCTTTTCTAAAATTTTTTAACCTTTTAAATATCAAATGTTTCTATTAATTACAACATAAGTCTATTAACATTTAATACGTTGAAAGTAAAATTATATAGAAACAATTTTTATTTTAACATTATAAAAAAAAAATTCAAGAATTACTTAGTTGTTTAAGATGTCGTATCTTTTTAATATTATTCAATTATTTATAGTAAAGCCTTTTTACTTAATTTTAAAGAATATTTATAAAATTAATATATTTATTTATATAAATATTTTTATAATAATCTCAGAACATTGTTCATCTCTTTCAAAACAATGTTTGAATTATAATAATTTTTTAAAAAAAATATATGTATTTATTGATCAATAAAGTAAACAAATAATGGAATAAAAATGAAATATCAATCAATTATCACACTATATATAAATAACTAATTACAATAATATTTTGAATAACTTTAGATAAAATTATTACATGATAATAATTTAAAATTATAATAAATAATTCATTTTTCAATAGAGACAATATTATATATTAACCTTAGTCAATAATTACTTCATACATTATATACATTAATTATAATAAGTTCGGTAAACAATATGTTGGATTGGTGTGATTCTTAGATTTGAATAATGTGATTAAATTGGTGAACAATAGCAGCATTGTACTTTATGCATGTGAGGACTCAAGCCTAATCAGCTGCCACAATCATATGATGGGATACGCATGCGTTTCTCATATATTATAAGTGTGACATTGAAAACATTGAGTCACCATGCAAGTTGTCACACTAAACGACGCCACAACGCCCAGTCTTTCTCTTAAGTACCTACAATGTTACTTACGTTGCTACTGCTGAATACGAATATGAATAAATTGACCCATTAAGTTGTACTATATAATTTTCCATCAAAATAAATTTGGATATATATATATATATATATATATATATATATATATATATATATTAATAAACTCTATATAATAAACTTTTTCTATTACAAATTTAAAATAAGAATATCTTAATATACTCTAAGTCCTAAACTATTAAAGATACACTTAAATACGTAAAACTTATAAACATATAACTATTTTTTAATTATATTTATTAATTATTATGATATAAATTATGTTTTAAATCAGATTCTGTGTATCACATGGGTAACTATACTAGTTAAATATACTATTATAATAGTTTAATCTAAGTTTTAATAATATGCATTATTAATAATGATAATAAGTTTACATTTAGAGTGATAAAGAAAATAATATATTTTTGGTTGATTTTACTTTTTTATGAAAAAAATTAAAATAATGATTTAAAAAAATTGTTGACATGCTAAAATCAGGTTTTTGACTAATTCTTTATAGGTTTTTATTAGTTTTGACTGGATTTTTTGGTTTTTTTATGTCAATTTTGTGGTTTGTTTAGCTAGTCAAGTAATTAATTTATCATTTTTTTAGTTTGACCAATTAGTTTGATCTAATTTTTAAAACATAGATTACAATCATAGAGTTAGTTAAAGATTTTTTTTAAGAGACAACAACATTTTTTAATTTGGAAAGACAAAATTCAATTCACTAAAATATCAAATTTGACACATCTAAAGTTTGCAAGGATACATGAGATTAATAAAATTAATTCCATATACATAATATCTCCACAAAATTATCAAGATAAAATAAATATTTTCATAAAACAAATAATTTTATACTATCATCAAATCACAAACTATCATTTATGACTGTTTTGACTATCAAAATAGTTATCTTAAAGTAATACTAATGGTAATTTTTGATTGGTTGACAAATATTGTTTTGCAAACCAAATGAGCTAGTTTGATTGATTATTAAAAATTAAATGATTATTGAATAAAATTTGCATATGCAATTTAAACCAATATTTATGTGTTTAACTTGCTCCAAGAATAGATCAATCCAAAAAGTCTACATAAAAAGTGGTCATGTGGTTTGAATTTAACCAAAAAAGAAAAATCAACCTAATATTAAACACACAAAAATAAATAGAAAAATAAAAGCCTTCAAATGAAATGTTATTGGTTGCTGCAACTTAAGAAATATGAATTATACTTGCTTAATTGATTGTCAACAAAATGTAACAATATGTTGTTGTCTGGCAATATGAGCTAAGGTTAGATACATTTTTATTTTTTAATTTAAAGTATATAATTATATATATATATATATAT